CTGCCTTGTGTTTTGTCTCCAGCTTTCTCTTTCTCTCTGGTAAAAATCCTTCCTTTCTACCTTTTATAACACTCCCAAGTTCCTTGTCTGTGACCTCCTTTCTACCTCGTTTATTGCCTCTCTCTTTCTCCCTCATCACCGGTTTTCTTCCTTCTTGCCTCCTTTTATTCTCACCTTCTGAGATATCCCTTTTGGATTCTTTCTCATCACTTCTTTGCTGTCTATCCCCAGGTTTCTTCCTCTTTTTTCCCTTCCCTCTCCCCCTCCTTATTTCAACACCCTGTCTCCTTCACTCTATCTACTCTCCTCTCTCTTCTCCCTTTCCTCTTCTCCCTTCTTCTTTCAACACTTCATCTCCTTCACTCTCTCTAATCTCTTCTCTCTTCTCACCTTCTTTCAACACCCGCTATCTTCTTCATTCTTTTCTATCTTCCTTAACCCCCCCTTTCTTCCTCGAGCAGAGAGAAGAAGAAGAAAGGGGATAATGAAGATTCTCTCCCCTTTCTTCTTTCTTCTCTCTGCGTCACCTTTCTCTTTCTTTCAACAACCCCTAGCTCCTCCACTCTCTCCTTTCATCTCCAACACAACCCCCCCCCCCCTTCTTTCAACCTCTATCTCCTCCCCTCTCTCCTATCCTCTGTCCCCACCTTCTTCAAACACCCCGAGCTCTTTCATTCTCTCTACTCTCTTGTTTCTTCTTTCTGTTCGTCTTTCCCCCCTTCTTTCAATACCCTATAGATTCCCCTTCCCTCTCTTCCTTCTCGTCCGCCCCCACCTTCTTTCTTTCCCCTCCTCTATGTCCTCGCATTCGCCCCCTTGTAACCCTTGGCGTCGGGTCCGCTTCCTCTCCCGCAGAAGAATCCCTGCGATAAACTGGGTGGTGACGAGAGTGTTCCCGTGCCTGGCGTGTGCCCAGCAGCCCCTGGAGCCGGACGGCCCCTTCCGCCGCTACGGTACCGAGTACACGACCATGTCTGACGCCTCCAGCCGCCGCCACACTCTCACCTCCGTCAGGTATAATGCCAGGTGAGGATCGGGGGCTCTTCGCGGCCGCTGCTGAAGAGCGGGTGGGATGGGTCTTGGACGTCGACGCTGAATGGCGTGCGTGCGTGTATGTGTGCGCGCCCACGTGTGTGTGTGTGTGTGTGTGTGTATGTGTGTGTGTGTGTGTGTGTGTGTGTGTGTGTGTGTTGTCTACGTGTGTGTGTGTGTGTGTGTACGTGTGTGTATGAATTAATATCTATGTGCATGTGAGAGAGACAGCGTGTGCACCCGCGCATAAGCGCTGTTATATTTGCATCTGTTAAATTTGTATGTATGTGAGAGGGATGTCTGCGTTTGCATAAACGTATTGTTACATCGTCGCTATAATGTTCTAGTTTCTTCTCAGTGCATTATTTCTCGCAACTTCTGTTCCCTCATCCGTTCCTCGCCATCCGCTCGCCTCTCTTCGCCTCATCATCATCCTTCTGTTCCTTTGCAGTCCCATCCCGTTAAGCCTGCCTCTGGCCCTCTGCCGAAGCGCCCCCTTGGACAGCGAGAGGAAGCCGTAGCGCTGAAGGGGTAACCGCCCCCTCCCCCCGCCCCCTCTTTTCAAAAGCGCAACCCCCCGTGGATAGTCAAGCTCAGGATCTGACTCCGCCCCCCCCCTTTTTCCCCAATCCCCTCTTCTTTATTTCGGGAAAGGATTAAATTCAAGTAAAAAATACTCACCTCCCTTTCCCCCCCCTCCCCCTTCCCGCTTATTCCATGGGTAACTTGCACACGTCAATAGAACAATAAAAATAAGGCGAAGTCCCCCTGGGTGAGTCCGCTGTCCCCCCGGGTTCCACTGCGACACAGGGATGAGGAGGAGTGAGTATCCGCGTGACTAAGAACACATGTAGAGTGAGAAGTGTGTGTGCTTTCATAGTGTGTTTTGGGGGGTTTTACTAACCAGGGTGAGCTTCCAGTAGAGAGCTTGGAAAGGGAATACTTAATCAAAATCACTAGTATTGCGGGTGAGGTTGTGGTGCAGTTTAGAAGAGCTTCCTTGCTTTCTAAAAAAAAAAAAAAAAAAAAAAAAAAAAAAAAAAAAAAAATATATATATATATATATATATATATATATATATATATATATATATATATATATATATATATATATATATATATATAACACCCAAGCCTTAATTAAACCAGCTTATTGCGATAAATGAATGAATGAATTTAAAAAATCGTGAGTTCACAGCTTTGACCCCCACCGCCGGCAGCATGTACGAGTTTTTGACGCTGTTCTCACGGTTTTTAAAATGTATTTTAGACAGTATACTTCACATGTAGTTTAGGATTAAATCAAAAGGTCACTTATTTTTACTCCTTAAATCAGAATTCGGAACAAATCTTAAAAGAATTTTCTTGTGACTGTACAGGCCTTTTATATAAAGACTGTGTACAATAGTCCACCTCATTTGTTCCACATAGTCTATATCTATAGCAAATGTGTTTTATTAACACTTAGCTTATGTATATACAAAATCATATTCTAATTTGTAAATATTAGTTTGGCATATTTAATCTCAATGATTTACACTTCCCTTAGATAAAAGTAAATGAAATCCAAATACTAATCCACAATCATAAAATCCTAACAATTACACAAATGAAAATTTCTTCTAATGAAACCAGGAAGAAAAAAAAAAGAAAATAAACAGGGACGACATACAAAATGCTTTCAAAATTTATGCTAATTCCCAGCATTTTTTTTTTTCTTTTTTTTTTTTTTTTTTTTTTTGGATATGCACAAGAATCGATTACTTGCTTTGTTTGCTTTTTCTTTCTTTTTTCCTTTCAATTCCTATTCCTGTTTTCAGATAGATAGATGTAGATAAATACATATATACATACATATATGCATAGATACACACACACACACACACACACACACACACACACACACACACACACACACACACACACACACACACACACACACATACACACACACACACACACACACACACACACACACACACACACACACACACACACACACACACACACACACACACACACACACACACATACATAATATATATATATATATATATATATATATATATATATATAATATATATATATATATATACACACACACACACACACACACACACACACACACACACACACACACACACACACACACACACACACACACACACACACACACACATATATATATATGTATATATATGTAATGTACACCCAACCTCTCATCCCGAAAAGGAAGCCTTACGTGTCGCTCTCCTGCAGGTACAACCCGATGCGTCAGGGCGTCGAGCTCAACAAGGGCGTGACGCAGACGACGACGGTGCCGAAGGAGTACCTCAACACCGAGCTCCTCACGTACAACACCAAGAGGAAACATGACACGTACATCCGGGGATCCGTCGTTTAGGGAAATGGCACCATGGCACTGGGAATTTCAAACGGCGAAATATTGATAAATTGATATGGAAATAAGTGATGAAATATATCTCGAGTCCTGTGTGTGAATGAAGAGAAATGCGTGTTGAAAATATGAACTTATACATTACATATACTGTATATATATGTGCGCATGTCAATATATATATATATATATATATATATATATATATATATATATATATATATATATATATATATATATATATATATATATATATGAATCTGTATGTATTATTGCTGTTGGACGATGAAAGAGAATTATCTAAAGGCTTTACGAAGCTCTGAGCTCTACGAGTCAAGGGGGGCGTAGATGTGCAGATTCAACTTCTTTAGTAAACGTATCAGAACTTTACTTTCGGGTCTTCACAGCCAGATATACGATCGTCTGGAGAAACTAAGAAGAAACCCTTAATCGTGTAATGAATGTTTCCTAATTCTTGAGGGAAAAGTGGTTTCTTAAGTTTATATACCTATTATTCACAGCACTGGCTACGAACTGCGAGTTACCGTTAAAGTAACTTGGGAAAATAAGAGTACTTGAAGCACTGTACTCTTCATGTACCACAGTGACTGTTATACTACTAGAAAAAAGTAAGTGTTGTAAGACCTGCTTTCGTCCTTGGCTAACAGGGACACTTCAACGGCAGCTGACGAGTGAAACAGCCGAGTGAAATGTTCAGTGCTCGTTGCAAAAAGTGTTTGCAGTGTTGCCCATTAAGCAACCTTAAAGTGATTGTGATGTAGTTGTGATTTTTGTTACATGTGTATTCATCTACAAAAACTGAAACTCTAAATAGATTAGCGTGAAAAAAGCTCATCAAAACAAAGACTAGACTGTAATATCACTAGCCCTTATTTCAGACAGGGACACCAACTAATGTTTCCTAACTTACACAAGATGTTTAGATTTCGTCTCTACTTCGTATCCTTCGCAGGACTTTGGCGTATATCAGTCTCCTGCCAGCCATCAGTGAATTCAAGTAGATGAAAACGGGGCCAAGCGTTGCTGTAGAAATAAAAGATGGTCATTTTCGAAGTTCCGAGGCCGCTTCGACACCACAAGTGAAGCGATTCGATTCTTTTCCTTCTTCATACATTATCTCGAGCAAATCTTCACTTCATACCAAGGGAAATAAAAGAATATAAACATATATATGTCCTAATATGTAAATGAATGTGATATATAGATATATATCCCAATATATTTGTGTAATACCTTAGTATCTGGGTGGAACTAAAACTGCAAAAAGTGGTTAACTGTTTGTCTTCAGTGTTATTTGTCATGCACAATTTTCAAGATTGTTTGGATATATTTGGAGCTTCTGCAATAGGACAGATGTCACAGGTTTGAAAATGGTCTTTTTCTTCATAAAGTATAAGGCCTATTTGTCTGTACTCAAAATGCTTAATCTGAATGAGTCTGCTGATGAAGTGATGAAAAATAGAATGTGTTTGGATGTCGTAACAAAAATATTGGGTATGCTACGCAATAAAGGATTATGGGCTGCTCTTATATTCACGATTTAGCACGCTCTTTTTCTCAAGAAAGTTCAAGAATGTGAAAATTGCATGGACGATCATTTGCAACTGGTTTTCCTACGTCTGCATCTTAAAATTAAAAAGGGGAAAATACCCTTAATAAAAAACATGAATGTGTAGCTATGTGCACTATCATTAACACTATTCTTCTTGCTCACAACCTTTATAAGCGACTTTATTGTAACCAGAATTTGTAAAGCGGTTGGGACAGAATAAACCAATATGTGAATATAGAACAGATATCAATACAATTACTACACTAATAGCCCCAAAGCAAAGAAATATATAGTGTACTTATATAAGTCACAGGAAGGTTATGGAATGGTGTCATCCCACTGCAAGCACGTACTTATAACTGTGAGACCCACAGAGGTAGTAGCGGTCTGGCAGGTGTCTGGTGCTATCGCTGTCCATCCAACAGTCAGTATGATCTCAAGCGTGTGCCTGTGTGTGCGTTGAGATAATTTAACTAAATAGTTATAGACATATAGACATAAAGTAGTCATGAGCACTTCCCAGTATGCGCATATTCATTTTCGCACACACAGGCACAGGCATTTTCACACATACATATACACACAGACGCTATTCATCCACATACTAATAAGATTCAGGCACTTATACAAACAGACACTGAATAATACATGCATAAGTAGATATACTCAAAATAAATGGAGGGCTTGAATAAGAATGTGAATAAGTTTAAACGAGGTCGTCCAACATCTAAGATTGCATGAATAATACAGTAGATACAAAGAGAAATTTTTCAATGTTTTTATCTCCTTCACAAAGATACGAGCCCTCCTAGCATACTCTACAAACTACAAAAAAAATCATAATGGTTAACGGAGATGAATCAGTCATATGGGATCGAATCCTTGTAAAGCTTCAAAGATAGTCTCAGATTTCATTATTCCTGGTTTTGGGGGTTAAAAAGTTTATGGTTTAGGCCGATCACATTTTTGGTAATCGTAATAAAGGATACAGATGGTCGATAAAACAGTGATGTGAATATACTTCGTCAGCACAAGATAATATAGGAATAGGAAAATGACTTGTTATGTAAATGAAAAAGATAAGGATAACGATAATAAAGATACTAATAGAGATATACTTCGTCAGCACAGGATGATATAGGAATGTGTAGGGGAAGATGAATTGTCATGCAAAGGAAAAAAGATGACAATAACGATGATAAACAACAACAGAGAAAAGTTACGTAAGTGCTATTCTTAAAAACCTGTCCGGTGACTAAGAACCCTCGTAGAATCTCATGCTAAGATTTTGACATTTACCCAGAACCATTTACTTCTTAGAATTCATCGTCACCCATTCTTAACTCAAGGAGCCAAATACTCTGTACTGTACTCATCACGTGATATCACCCATAAGTGTTTACAATTTCTGTTGTGATTTATCAAGTTTGGTATGTACGTTGTACTGAATGTTTATGTATTTATTATGTATTAAAGATTGTCATCCAGCATAATGAAGGGGGAATGCTGGAATGCATATGTATATCAGCTGTATTTATATGTTTGTATGTATATAAAGACGGTTGTATTTTCTCAATGGTGCATTTAATCAGCCAATTAGCTCTCGTGATAGAAGAAAGAATAAAAACAATCAAAGGATAAACACAGATCATTTGTCTGTCTTAAGAAGCTGTGTTAAGTAATCTGTCAAACATTCTCTCCGTATTCATGTTGTTGATTTTTATATGTTTACATTGTTATTTCTCTCTGTACTTGTTTATCTTCTCTTCACCTCTCTTCTGTTTGTTTATTCCTCTTTGTAAATCATTTTATCAGCTGTGTAAGAAGACCAAATCTCACCCAACTTAACCCAGCTTCAACAAGAGAACATAACCGTTGATAAGTCTATCCCTAGAGATTAAGAGAAAGGAAGAAGAAGAAGAAAGAAGAAGATAGAAGAAGGAGAAGAAGAAGAAACCAACATAAAAGACATTTCTGTTCATCACCTTATGGAGATCACTTCCAGGATACTTTTTTTTTTTACCCAAATGTTCCTGTAGGTCTAAGACCCAAAGAGCGAAACGTTCATAATAGCATTAACAGATATCCTTGTTAATTGAGGGTAAGCGCAACCAAAGGTGCTCTCAGACCAGCTGTCCTAACATGCGTATATTAAATGTTCTGTTGATTTAGACTTTTACATAGAAGATAAGCATCGATGTGTTCTCGTTAATACACTACGATACTTATACAGAGTGCATAAAGGTGAATATAGCGATCATTATGGCAAGGATGAAAGTTTGAAATAAGAAAAGTCAATTGGTTCAAGAACACCTTTGGATACGCATGTCTTTGATTATAAAAAGGAGAAAAAAAATAACCCTGAACACTGCAGTACACCGATTCGCCATGTCTCTTTTGAGGAAAATAACGTTTTGAATAAAAGAAAGAAAGAAAACATATTTATACATGTATACTGTATATAAGGTTTTAGAATACAGAACATAAAGAAACATGA